CCCAGCTTGTTCACTCCCATTTGCAACTCTTCTCTGCTGCAGGCAGTTGGCTGGGAGAACATGGCATTCATCTTCCTCAATCGCTTTTTGGACCTGACCGACGTGCGTAGGGAAGCTGTGCCCCGAGGGTGGGGGTTTTTGCTGGTCACAAGCTGTGCCTAGCTCATGGTTGCCTACTCTACTGCAGGCAATCGAGGAGGGGACTCTGGATGGCCTTGACCACTCTGATTTTCAGGATACAGACATTCCCTTTGAGGTGCCACTCCCAGCCAAGCAGCATGTACCGGTAAGGGCACAGGGTTGGAAAATGGGAAGGCCTCCCCAGTGTAAGTGCCTTGAGGAGGGAGAACATCTTTGTGCTGCCATCTTTGGAAGGACCTCAGCCCTCACTACTCTTTCACTGAAAGTAGAAGCAAAGTAGAAAGAAAAAGCTGTGACTGTATCCCCCAATCCAAGGAGGATTTGTGGCTGAAAGCTGGTATACAGGATGAGGGCTTAGCAAACCCCCTCTTCACCCATCTACCCCAACTTGCCCTGCCCTGTGTGAAGCTACCACTCCCTCTTGTTCTTTCCAGGAGGCTGAGAGAGAAGAGGTTCGAGACTGGGTGCTTACAGTCTCCATGGACCAGCGGCTGGAGCAGGTTCTGCCTCGGGATGAGCGTGGTGCCTACGAGGCCTCCCTAGTGGCAGCAAGCACTGGGGTTCAAGCCCTGCCCTGCCTTATTACAGGTATAGAAGCCTACAGCACCCCAGATCCTGTGGTGGGTGGAAAGCAGCAGGATCAATAAACTTAATTTTACTAGGATTCAGTAAAGGGTACAAAAGACAGGACCATGCTTTCTACCCCCAGGCTGCTCCTCATTTTTCCGTCCTCAATCTCTCTCAAACCCCAGTTCACCATTTTTTTCTTCCTCCACAGGATACCCCATTCTGAGGAACAAAATAGAATTTAAGCGGCCAGGGAAGGCTGCTAACAAGGACAACTGGAATAAATTCCTTATGGCCATCAAGGTTAGAGAGGGGGACTTGAAGAATGAAGGCAGAGAGGGCAGCACTAAAAAAGAAAAAAAAACAAGTCCAGGCACGGTGG